GTTTAAACTTGTATACTTGACCAGGATTCAAACTCGATGGCATCTGCAAGACTTTAGAGTAGGGGTCCCCAAACTTTTTATCCCGTCGACCCTTTATAGAATATTTTTGCCTTCTTATCGACCCCCAGATTAAGTATTTAACAAAAACATTAAGTCTATTTTGCGTTTTTAATGTTAAGCGATAACATACTGCATAACAACCCAACAAAAGAATTTATAGTTTCCATATTTTATAAAATCTACCCAATAACATTAACAGNTATAATAAGAATTGCAAAGAAAATTTTTTTTATTTTTGTTAATTTGTAAGGAATTAATATATGTATTGTTTTATTATTATATTACAAAAAATATTATTGTAATATTTAAACATTTTTATATTTCTTTTACTAGTTTATAGAGAGCAGATTGCATATGTTAAATACTGGTAAAGGTTGCTTTACTGATGAATTTGAATTTGAACTTACAGCATATGAAGGAAAAGCTAGTAGTAGATTAAAAACACAATATAAAGAATGGCTAACAAGTATGAAAGTAAGTTACATAGATTTGATATTACAGGTATTTGGAAATTTGATGATTATTATATGAATCTTTATTATGTAATTAGTATTTAAAAAAAATAAGAAATGAAACATAACATTTAATTAATAATTATCTGAAATTACATTAAATACAAAAATTCATAAAATTATTAAATTTTATTATGCCATTATTTGTTATGTATGTATGTATTTTAAAAATAAAATAAAATTCAAATATCTTTGATATATTTTAAGGCAAGAATGCAGTTGAAAAACCTTTCATCACAAGTGAAGATGCTGAAGTATTTAAAAAGCTTCATAGCTTACTAAAGAGAATCATCAAGCTTGTCCCTTTGTAAGTATAATTGAATATATTTAAGCTTGAAGATTTAGTTTTCAAAATGGAATTTACTTATACTATAATTTACATAGATCCTGCTCTGTGACCACTTACTTTTCAATCATTGCTTTTACAGCTGATATAAATTATCTATTATGATTGCATGAAATGCAATGTTTAAATAATTTTTTCCCTTTTATGTACATTAGTTATTCCAAAGTTTATTCTTTCAGACATTACAGTTTGATTTATAATGACTCGCTTAATGATAGTTTTTATAGGAACTAATCAGGTTGTAAAACCATGAGTTTACTGTACTGCTGAAATTCAATTGATACTNAATTAATAAAATAATAACGTAAGAATATTACAAGCAACCAAATTCAATAGTAAATCCTTTAAGGAAATCGCTGTTTATATATAACAGAAATCTTACCTGTATGAAAAAATAATACAAGGTATATTTTTAAACTTCCTTAATGAAATTTGCATATTATTTTCACTTTTATTTCAAATTAAATTTAAAATTTAATAAAGTTCAGTCGACTTTTATTGTATTCATAATAACATTAAACAGTAATTTTTAAGTTAGGATAATAATAAATAGAATTGTAATAATCTATCATTGATAAAACTACAAAAAAAAAAAAGAAAGAAAATTTATAATAGAAACATTTCTATCTTCCTTTCGTATTGGTTAAATACTTTTTAGTCAGGAAATAGGAAAAATTTCTTGTTTTTTGATTGAAGGTAGCTGACCGAGAACGTAATTCTTATCATTTTACAGTTTTTTTTATATGAATATAAATAGATAAGAAGCTCAACACATTCAATATAATATAATGAAATGATAATTTCATCTGTCTGGTTTCATATTCAAGATGTCTTCTTCCTAAATCAAGGCAGGATAATTGTATTCAGGATCAATTTCCTGACAGGATAATACACAAAACCGTTAACCATTATTAGAGGGGACAAGAAAATGATAGTAGTAATTCGTGGGGATCAAAGCGATTAATTACATATTATTATTATCCTGCTGTAGTTTATTTTATATTAAATTTTAACAAGTTGACAGTTGCTGTATGATATTTGTGTCAGTCAGTGAACTAATGATTACACTAAATTTAAAGAAAAGATCATACCCACAATGTAAAAAATTTCCTTTTAATATTTCCTATATATATATTATAATAAAAACATGCCCCTTTCTATAGTGAAAGTGAATGTGTATAAATATATAAAAAAAAGAAATTCAAATATTTCATTGGATCCAAGGAAAATTCCCAGCTCTGGTAATAAGTAAACCTTGTTAATTGTGCTGTACATCAGCAATAAGCGGATCCTGTTTGTTATAGATTAAACCAAATAGACTTTGTTGTATAGTGTAGCAGTGTGTGTAAACCCTGTATTATATCGATATACAATAAAGTTTAAATGTAGGAACCACTTCTCATCTGTTATGTTGGGCATATGAGAACGGTATTTTCGGTGCAGCTGACACTATTATATCGGGTCTTTGAGACAGTTCGACAGTGCTCTGTATACAGGTCAACACTTCGAAACCCATAGCTGCACACAGGGTGGGTAGACGACAGCTGTATTCGGTAGAGTGATGTGTTTGTTGCGTGTCCTGAATTAAATATCACTTATCAGGATAAGGACATGCTCCCGACACTGATAAAAAATGTTCATTGGCCCACCTTTACCAGCCCTTAAATTAATACCCGAGCTTTTGAATCACTTAAATCATATACTGTACTATTGATAGGTGTAGTATAATTACATCATTTACTGCATAATAATATATAATGAAGTAATTAATTACTAACATAACCCCATTAAGATGCTCTTCTTCCACCAAATAAATTTAAAAGAATGACGCCTAAACTGTGTTCTCGTAGCTTGAAATCCTAAGCTCTGTAGCTTGTGTAATTCCGATCCTGTGTTCTATTGTAGTTAGATTCAACCTGTGCTACTATACGCATTGGGAAGCAAGAGTTTTCGATCTCCTACGATCTTTCTGCAACAGGATTTACACCTTTCCATTTAATATAATTATTTCGGACGTTATCTTTGAATGTATTATACCAAATTTTGCTTGGATTTCCTCATCTTTTCCATTATAAACCCATTGTAATCAATGCAATCGAAGACAAAGAATACAAATTTCCATTTGTTCTCTATAACTAGAATTGTCAATTCTTTCGTATTCGCCAGGAAACTTCAGAAATTTAGTAAAAATTTGAAACATTTTCGAATTGAGGCCTATTATTTCAATTTTTACTCAAGATGATAGCCAAACTTTTAGTCAATAGACTATATATTTGTATAATAAAGAGATTAAAGAACAGGAGATGGAGTTTTAATGAGAGTTTAAAAATATATTATTCCTGTAATGGAGAATTCCCAGAATCAATTCTTCAGAAGTCGACTGTAACTGTATTCTAATTCTTATAAATAAACTTTGATTTATGAATTTAGCAGTTATATTTATAATATAGTAACANATTCACTTGTTTAAAATAATCCATCAAATTTACTTAATGAATTAAAATCTACAAAACAGTAAAAATGGCAATAGACCTATGGATGATATATTGCTGAGCATTACAGTAGAAAATATTTAAATTTAATCCATATTAAAGCAACAATAAATAAATAAGTACTGGCAAACATTTAAATATCTGTGAATAGAACTTGTATGCCAATAAAAGATTGAATAAATATGAACTTTCAATTTCAAATTATGTACTTTTTCCTACAGTTTATATCACTTTACAAATTAATACTGAATTGGATCATATAAAAGAGGACACATATAGAAGCCTCAAAGAAGTTTTAAACCATCTGATGATTTGATATTTGTAAAACTATCTTATTCATAGGACTGCACTGAATTAGTAAATTTATGAGTTAGTATATGTAATTTTTATATCAAAACTTCAGTTGTAAAGAATTTCAGTTCTTGATGATAACATGTTAATGTTTAAGAAACAGAAATAAAAAATAGTAGCTAAGTTTTTGCACACTTGCCATTTAATCATGCTAAAAGTCTTTGTTAACATTCAAAACAATCACTTCTGTTCTGTCAATAATTCTTTATTTGAATGCTTTTATTTGAAAAACAATATTCTGTTTTTGAAATAAAAGCATTTCTGTTGGTTTTCCTCTCTCATATTCAAGTGCAGTTCTGAACTATTTAAACTGTAGTATGCATATTTCTTAATTAATATGTAGAAAAGCATTCTTGTTAATTTGAACTAATTGTTGTTTCAGATTAGTGAGAAGTTTCGATTAGCTGGATTAATTTATATTTGTTTTTGGCTGAAATATTTAGTGAAAAAATGACAAAATTGATTTTGATTAAATGAAGTTTGGATAGTACAGGTTCAGATTAGTAAAAGTGTATGGTATTAATTTCTAAGTATTAAACATTTTCCAAAATTGAAGTTAATTGAATATTTAACTACTAATATTTTTTTAGCAAATAATAGAAAATATCTTTTTTAACATCTGTGAAATGTAAGTTATAACACCCAATATGTAGTATGAATCATATCCAGAGAGCAATTCAGCATTAGTTCCTAGGGTAAATTTAATTTTTAAAAGTAACCATTTGCATGCCGCAACTTTCAAGTCTTTCATGTTCATATGCATAATTGCATTATTAAATAACACTGAAGTAGTGATCTTTCAAAATGTATGTATAAATGACATGCATTCTAAACAGAGAGCAATAAAAGAAACTGAAGAAACCTTCCAAATGTATTTGTTCTCACAAAAATGCATTTATGTTGTCTGACAACATGAAGTCATACATATTGTCTAAATGTTTTCTGCAGTTTGTGGCTAGAAATTTGAGGTTGAGAAGGAGGTCTTTTCTGAAGTGAAAAAATGGACATGACCAAGAACTGCAGAGTGATACCATAGAGGCATACAAGTTTTCACATCTTGATGATGTAGATATTTATAGATTTGAAAGGAGATTATGCTATGAATGAAAATAAAATTTGTTGCATAACTTTTGGGTTACTTTCATAATTTAATAAAATTTCTGTAGTATAATGATATGCAATATAACATATTTAAATATTAAATAAGGGATTAATTTCTTTCATAATAAGTATTATTACAATAATTTGTATAATTCCAGGCAATATGAAATACTTCAAAGAGAAAGTCTTATGAGAAATAGTTCGGATGGATCATTATCTGATGTGGATGGACCCACTTTTCCTTCTCCTATAGTTGATACTGATCTCATGAGTGATTTACACGATGTGATATTTAATTATTCTGGTTCTTTGTTAAAAACTTCACCAGGCAAAACTCTTCCTGCAAATAAATCTCTTAATGATGAGTTGGTAAGGAAAAGTTTCCTAATAATTATTTATATCAGTTTTAATAATTTAAAATAATTGTTAAATTCAATATAGAAAATAGGTATGTTTGTAGAATATGGTCTTTTAATATAAAGCCTGTTTAAAAATTAATGTAATGGCATAAAGATTTTATGCTTATATAGGCACTAATTCAATAAAATTATATTTACTATTAACATGGTGCATTTGTATACAAATATGCTTACTCCATGTGAAAATAATGAGAAAAATTTTTGTTGTATCTCTGAAAATTTTTGCTTTATTAATGGAAATGTTATGCTCAAAATGTTACCTGTGCACTGAAATCTTATACTTTTCATTTAATTACAAATGAAAATCTTGTAAGTTATAGTATTGATAGATCTGTAGGATGCAGAGAAATACTTTTTTAATAGTATTTTTCTGAGAAGAGCAGTGTAATAAGAAACATCATAATTGTACAGAAATATTATAAAACTAAGTTTTATAAAGATTTCTGCATTGTAAAACTGAAGTGATACTTACTATTGATGTCAACAATTTAAAATTGATAATTATTTGGAGAATTATATGTATTTGTGTTACAAATTAGAAAACTTACAGAATTGGATTTGTTGTTTGTTCTTGATCAACATTATTATAAACTCAAAAGTATTCCATTTCAATAAAAGTATCAGCTAACTCAAATAGTGTGCAGTTTGGGGATTCTGTCTTCAATAAGATAATTTCTTATTACAAGATTTTAATTAGATTTAGATCATCATGATTTTATCACAGCTGGCTCTTCATCTGTTTACTATTTTGACTAAGCTCATATATCTGTGTATTTTTTATACAAATTTTCAATGCACAAGTATGTGTTTTCAGATTTTTTTATTAAATTATAATCTGAAAACATATACTTGTTGTGCATTGATAACTTGTATAAAAAAATCTTCATTCTGTTTCAGTAAAAATATTATATATAATCACAAGATATAATGAAATCAAATTTATCAGGACATATCATTATGAATTATGTTATCATCTACTATTTAAAGCAAATGCCCCCAAAGAAATCAATATTGACTCTTAGGAGTTGAAAATTAGTAGGGTCGATTGAAAAATGGTTTATTTAAAATTATTAGTTTGATGAATTATATATATGACAGAGTAGGATGTTGTAAATTTGAATATTTTAAGTAGATTTTTTTTCTATGAAATGGTGTGTGGATAAATATTGATTCATACCAGATTTATTTATTTAAAGTGCATTAGCAAATGAAGAGGGGATAGATAAAAAATTGTGGAATTCTTGAAGGGGGTTGACAGTCAAAAAAGTTTGGGGACCCCTGATGAAGAGCATATGGTTTCTATTCTTGTCTAATATAGCTATTATATTATATTTTTTATCATGTTCTTATATAAATATATTATTGAGAATATATAACTATACAATGATATTGTATTTATAATCAAAATATCTTTACAGGTAAATCAAAAGAAGGCTTCAACATTGAATATCTCTTCAATGAATAGCAAGAGAATTTCTAGTCTTCCTCCACCTGCACCAAGACCTCCTCCTAGAAACAAACGCAGAACTGCTTCGGATGGTGCTTCACAAATGTCTAATCAAAATAGTTGTCAGTCTCCATTGATAAAATTGGATTCTGTTGAAGAAGATAGTGTTTTCCCTAATGAGAATCACAAAACTATAAACGATACCTTAATTGAATTACAGGATGCATTCAACAATATATCTAGTCAAGATTCAAATACAGAAAAATTACAGCAGACAAATCCAATTTACTATGCACCATGTGTACCTCCCAGGAAATCATCTGACTTAGGCAATAACATTGCACCAAAAACTAATTCTTCATTAAAATCAAATCCATTTATAACATCCGACAAATGGTTGAAGGACAACAAAGTAAATGCAACTCATTTTCAAAAAACTGAAAATTTGAGTACTTCTTCAACAAAGTCCACTTCTCCAATATATACATTCCATGAAAATGCCAGGGAATCAAATTCTCATATTTACAGTAAAACTTCATTTCCTCCAAAAAACCTTCCATTGTCAAGAAAAGCTTCATCACCTGCAGTTTTATCAACAGCTTCTTCATTTTCATCTCCTCCTCCTCCTCCATTACAGTATTCACAATTAAGTAAATCGTCAAGTGTAGACGGGAAACAAGATCTGTTCGATTCATTAGTTAATTGGAAAGATAATAGTTTTTCGGAAAATAGTAAACGTTTACAAATGAAATCATGGGAAACCTTTCAATAATCATAAAAATTAGAATATTTTAATGAAAGAAATTTGCTGAAAATTTGTCTTATGTAATCCAGTTTTTTTTTGGAAAGTGACTCAAAAATTAGGAGTTTGCTTTTGCCCAGCAGAAAGAACTTTAAGGATATTTGTGTATTATAGGAACCATAGAAAATCATTTTACATATTGTTAAAATTATTCATCAAAGATGAAAGTCGACATTATAATTGTATAATTGTTGATTTATTTTATTAAGATATCACCATTAAAAAAAAAATCAAATTTAAGGATTATTGTAAATGTTAAAAAAAAATTTTTTTTATAATAATCGCTTAGATATTCTGAATACAGTTTATTAAAATTAATTGCACTTACAGAAATTTCAAAAAGTTAAAATATTTTGAAATGCCAAAATTTAATTCAATATAGTGCCTTATATAAATATTGATTGAAAAATTTGCTATTTTTGGAATGCTTTTTAAAGGCTTTTTGTAAATATTGTCACAAAATGAGACACTAGTACAATTTTGTTTATACAAGGAAGTACTTTCACAATTTTTTTTTTTTTGTTTTTCCTTTAGTATGACATGCAATTTTGTAATTTGTCTCGTGTAGAATTCATACGATAATTGTGAAAATACTTTAAAGTACTTGTACAACAAATTTTTATAATAAGTATTTATAAAAACACTCGATATTTATGAATTAATATTTTGCTGGTTGCTTGTAGGATGTAATATTTCAAGAATGTATTTTTAATATTGGAAGTTTAATGCTTGAACTATTTTTTTTTTTTTTACAGTGCAACCGCAAAGCAGCTTTTACTCTATATTATTATTATGAATATCTTAAATTACGGGTGCAGTTTAAAATTTGCTACCTTGGTATAACTATTAGCTACCTATTTCCAAGACCTGTCAAAGTTTATGTAAAGTAGTATTATGAAAAGAACTGTGAGTATGTAATTTTCATAGAAGTGTATATATAAAGTTACAATGTTTTGGTTTTTTTTTTTTTTTTTAAATATTAGCCGCATACTGGAAACATCAAGTATCATATTGGAATGTTTACATTTTGTATAGTTGCATTTAAAATATGTTATGTCTTTTGTAGTTAATAAGATTCGAATGTTCAAAATAAAATGATGATAATTTGTATATTGAAATTCCATTTTTATTTCTGTAATATAGTAAAGAATTATGCCGATATTCATTTCATTAAATTGGAAATTATATTAAAAATGGACACCAATACATTATTTATTTGTCTTTACTTGAAATGTGTATTAATCTAGGGAAGAAAATTTATGTTTTTGGCCTTAACGCGAACATGTTTCAACATTTATTTTGAGGAAAGTTTTTAATTTTTGATATTTTTCAAGAAAAAAAGTATTTTTGTAAAATGTTTAATTGTTAAGCTGATGATTTTCAAGTTGAAAAGTAATTATTTAGAAAGGCTGGCATTTCCTTTTAAAGGTGACCTATTTCCAAAATTAACCATAAATTTTTATTAGAAAGTTAAATAAACCCAAAAAAATTTATCAGAAATGTGAGATTTCACTAGAACAATGCCATATTCATCCCCTAAATATTGTTTTAATGATTCTTTTCCGTACAATTTCTTTAAAAAAATCCTACTTAAGATGTTTATCAAAATTATAAACTTATATTTTTTTAAAAACATATTTTAGAACTATCAAAATCAAAAGTTATTATTTAAAAAAAAAATGAAAACTCTGCTATTCGTTCTGGTTCCTAATTTTAAATATAGTTTAACGTTCTGACCACATAACCCATTTCCTCTCTCTCCTATAATTACGAGGAAATATTTACAGTATAAGGAAAATGATACAAACTCGATTGAATGTCATTTTATTTGATGTCATTACATCTTTCGGCTTTCATACCTGTATTTAGAATACAATCGGTTGAGAGTTTGTTATACTACACAACACCTCGTTTTAAAATACTACTTAACCTTTTACGGATCATTGGATTTTTGTATCCTACTACGCTTTCTCTTATTGAATTTTGAATTTACATACCCACGAATTGATTATTTTATATGAAATTACATTTTATTTTAATTATTCAATTTAGAGAGAAATACCTTCAAAATATTAAAATGAAATGTTTAGATTTTGCTGAAATATCATCTCTAAAAATGCTGCTGTTTTTCTTTGTTATCCTTTTGTCAATTTCTATATATATTTTTTAATGATTAAAAAAAATTAAATTGTATTCATCAGAACGGAGAGAATGAGATCAATGCCTTTTCTATTTCTTTATATTTTTCAAAGATAAATTTTTAGGGCAATTTCTTTTTATTAAGTAACCGAAGAATAGCAATTACGCTGTATTTAACATTTTTAAATAGTTGTAGTTGTGTGTATGTGTAGGAAGTGAAACGTTTAAGTAAACATCAGATGTATCAAAAAGATTAGAATTTAAAAACGTTATCTTTATACTAACCCAAGTTTGAAGTTTGTTTATGGACGAATAAGCAAAGAGGGCGACGTAGAAAGTTAAGAAAATGGAAATTAAATATCTCATAAATCTAATTTATAAATATGTGTTTTGATTTCTGTTTGATATAAAAGAATACGAGCTCAGTTACTGTGATTTTAGCATTCGTTCTATGTGTTAACAGACACATTAAGCGAAACTATGAGTATGTAAAGCACATTAGGCACATGTATAAGAATAGGAAATACACTGGGTAAATAGGAGAAGCAAAAATGTCCAGGCAAGTTTCCAACTAACAATATCAATTACTGTTATGGAGGACAGTAACAATGGGGGAATATGTAAAAGTACACTATACACGTTTATAAGTACAAGAAGACACATTAAGCGTGTCTGTAAACATGTAAGAGCACATGTATAAGAATAGGAAATACACTGGGTAAATAGGAGAAGCAAAAATGGCTAGGCAAGTTTCCAGCCAACAACATCAATTAGTGTTATGGGGCAGTTACATCTATATCTTTATAAACATTGCGATTTGGGACTACACTGTGACATCAAGCTTGTATATGAGAAGCATATTAGATGGATATATATATATATATATACACACACATCTAATAGGCTTATATATATATATATAAGCCTATATCAGGCATATAGCCTGATATGTTTCTTTACGTATCTGATCACAATTATAAGAATAACAAAGCGCAAGCATTACCAAGCCTTATCTGCAATATAAAAAAATAGATAAGATTTAACAAAAGGTGTATAATATAAGGCTAATTATATTAAGATTAATTAAAATATGTTAATACTCTTTAAATACAAAGCAAGATAAGTTATCTCGAATTATGATTAATGAATTTTTTTCACGAGGATGACACAATTTTTTTTTTCTATGTCAACGTCATTGTATAATTTCAACGTATCTGGTAAACGATACTTTTACAGGAAAATGTCTGTTTTCTTCTTAATGGAAGAATTAATTCTTTTTATAGATATGGGTCAGTGTTCAACGTGATGGCAAATAAGTCTCTTACTCGCTATCGTATGACCGGTCAACAAACTCGTAAATAGAATATTTTTGACAAGTGATACTTAATAAATACCAGATTTCTATATTTTAATTGCATTTAATAATCACATAAGTGTAAAATTATAAAAAAAAATGTCCGTCTGTCTGTCACGGTATGATAAATATATGAATTTGACATTCTCCTGGGCTATTAAATTTTTTTTTAATTCCAGATGTGTACAATAGTTTGGGATTTNCACGAATTGATTATTTTATATGAAATTACATTTTATTTTAATTATTCAATTTAGAGAGAAATACCTTCAAAATATTAAAATGAAATGTTTAGATTTTGCTGAAATTTTTATTATTATTATTATTATTATTTAGAAAGTTGTAATTTATATTTTAAATTATGCCTTAAGTAAAAAATAGACTTATCACTTTATACAATATTATTTTTTATATTTAGAATATATTAAGAATATTTTATAAAACTTTTCATATACTGTACAACAGTTATATAATAAACAGTGTCTTTATTCCTGTGATCTCATGAGTAACGACCTAGCTTCAAGACATAACAATGGAGGACAGGGTTTAACGATGAAGTACCGGGTTGTATGGGCGAAAATTATATTTTCACAAGTTAAATATTGAATAGCCGTAATCATAACATGAAAAATAAAGTGAGTTTTCATATTTTTAAACGCCTTATTTAACTTGCTTTGTATAGTGGTCTCAACCAACGCAACTCAAATTTCATCCACTTCCAGTTAAGGTAAAAGGTGGAAACCTTTAGGACATGCCTAACTCCAATGCATTTTAATAATATTTTAGGGGGTGGCCCCACTCCACTATCCTCTACTTGGAAATCCGAACGACATAACCAAGTGTAGAATTTAATCCTTTGTGTGTAAATGTATTGTAGTGATGTATAATATGGGAGTAGAATCCCGAATAATGGAAGTAAATCATTCCTGAAGAATTAGATCCTTTTATATATAATTTATTTTATTACTAAAATCATCACCGATAACATATTTTACTCTAAAGTAGGGGTCCCCAAAGTGGTCGATATCGACCCCTTGGGGTCGATAAGAGTTCTCCAGAGGTCGATTAATACACGAGTGTCGAAAGGGGGTCGATTAATACCAAAGAGGATCAATTAAACTGTCTAGGAAAAAAATAGAATATTCCAATAAAAATTCGAAATACGGATATGATCAACAACATTACTGACTACCCTAGTTATAACTTGAGTTTTGCCTTAGCCTACGCCGCTTTAAGCATGTGTTACTCTGTTTTCACGCATCTGGCAACTGTACTAGTGTTGCAAACATGTTATGAACGCTGGTAGTTCATTATACACAGACATACGTTGCACTGTTACACT